AAAACAGGAGATTCAATACCAGCCAAAGCGTTAGACAGTAAAAGTTAAATAAAAACACAATAACAACAAAAATCTGTCTAAAAATGAGTCAAATCAAACACCGATGAGCAGAGATGTTTCTCTTACTCAGAAGTCTGTGAACATTGACTCTTCAATGATTCAACAGTTTACCTATAATAGCTTAAAGCCTATGAAATTATACAAAAATCTTGAAAATAAGAATTAATCTGATTGTTTTTGAAGGAGCAGGCTTTGTGTAACGACAAGAAATAAAAGTTTTATCCATGTTCCAAATCTGTGAAAACTCTTGACTCCTTTATGGCAAAAAACATTGAGAATCAAACACAGCTAGAAGTCGCCTTTGCTATAAAATGAGTGACAGGTTCACCTGATCTGAGGGACAGGGTGAGTTTCTGTGGCTGTATCTGGGTGATCTTCTGGGTGCTCAGTTTCCCCTTCGGGCGGGAAGTAACTTGATCATCCTGTGTGATCTGGATGCTTCCTCTGGGGTTCTCAATCATTTTCTCATTGCATTTTCTTTTCTTCAGGGACTCCAGATCGTCACAGCGAGCGGATTTGGGCTCCCCCTCAGTCAGGAACGTCTGCAAAAAGAGTCACTTTGTAATGACCGACCACAGGAGTCACATCTGTGTTTAGATCTACCGAAACATGACGGATACTTTAAGGCTTAAACAGGTTAATATTCACATTCAGCAGCTTTCATTTAAAGCAACAATTTTCAAAGGAACATGCACAAACATCTGGAAAGTGGAGCAAATATGCAGGAATTTCTTCCTGTGTGCCCGCATGCAGAGACATGTTGACGCCAGTTACAAAATATTGTTGCGTAAAAGTACCAAAAAAAATTTTGGCTAATAATCCCACTTATCCTGAAGGAGTCTATCAAAAAAAATTGGTTCATTTCAGCACCCAGCCATCTGATATTCAGACAAAAAGATGATGGCGGTGAAGCTCAGTACAGAAATCCTACAAGCTGTATGAAGGAAGATCCTGAGATAATGGACATGGTCACATTAAAAATAGCACTTTGACCCAGTTCTTTCTGAACCACATGACCCCCTTTTTTCCTCGCCACATTCAGAAAACTAAAGGACAAAAACAGCAACAAGTTGGCTGAGAACTCAGAACAAGTCAACCGGATTTATCCCAAAAATGTCTTTCAATGCTCGTAATTCAAAGTTAAACTGCAAAGATACTCTGTGAGGAAACAGTTTCACTTAAATATGAAAGCTGATGCTTTCAGGTCTGCAGAGATTTCAGCTTATTCGATAAAAAAAAAAAAAACTGCAGCAGGGTGTGGTTTCCTAAACTCTAGGCTGGCTGTGAGTCAGGAGCTCTGACAGAAGATAAAAAAAGTCAAACAGAAATGCAGCTTTGTCCAAACAAATGCTTTAAAAAAAATAACAACTTCCAGGCTTCAGCCGTCCAATCAGAGCTCAGCATTTCCAAACAGTTTACATCAGAGCCCTGAGCGGACATGTCAACATCTTTACTGAGGCTAAAAACTAAACTAAATTTTAACATTACAAGCAATAAATGAGATGGATAAACTCTGATTTCTAAGAAATTCCTGTTTGAATTTAAATCCTCTGCTTGTTCTGCCACAGCAGCCCATTTATTTAATCAACATCTGTCATTGGTTTCCCTTCTGGCTGCCCATGGATCCCAGATGTGAGGCTGGAAGTGCTTCATTTTAACATCAGCATCCCTGCTGGCGTACTGAAAACATCTCATTTAGCAGCTTTTCTCCGCCAGTTTCCAGTAAAGACAAGAGGGGACACCACTCATGTCAGCATTTGATGGAGCTGTTGTGGTTTAGTTGCTTTCTGCTCAAAGAGAAAACAAAGCTTTAATCTCTGAACTGCTGCTTTCGACACTTAAAAAGGTCATTTCAGAGCAGAAATACACAAACATAACAACAGGTGCTAAACTATCAAATATATCAGTATTAATTAATTATAAATCCCCAAAACACAAGTAAATAAGTAGAGTAACATTTCTTTAACTCTGCAATAGTAACATCCAATCACAACACTACTCAGGTTAAATAGAACATATGGCTTCTGAATTATCTTCTTCTTTACTTCTTTACTTATCTACGCCTGTTTTTAAACTTGATTTCAGTCAAAGGTGCTCATATTCAGTCAAATATAATCACCATGAAGTCGGATACTGATGGAATTTACTCTTTACTAAACCAGTTAGCTTCATTTCTTGTATGATAGCAAAAAAAAAAGAGCAGCCAAGGACCCTCTGGATGAGATTAAACATCTCCATGCAGTTTTTCTGCCTCCACTCACTTCGTCCGAGCACCATCCGCATGCCTCTGAGACCTGGATGCATTCCCCACAGGACTGCGCGTTGGCCTGGATGCATATGCTCCCATCTGAAAGAGACGGGCGAGACTCCCCTCAGCCGACAGATTTTCCATTTGTTCACCAAACTCCAACCAGCCTTTGGCTGTGAAACACAGCCAGAGAAGTGAGTCATGCTGGGAAAGGCTGTGGGCAGCTGACCAAGAGATGACTTAACCCCCGGGGGGGGGGGGGGGGTCTCAGTGAGAGGCAACGCTGCCATAAAACCACCAACAGAGGCTGAAGCTGCTCTAGTACTGCTGGGATTTAACCCTATAATGCCAGATGTATCATATCTGATACACACGGTTTCTGAAGTCTTTTGGATCTGAGACTTTTTGCATCATTCAGTGGTAAAAGCTTTGCTCAAACCCCTGTTGTACACATTCAGATATACCTGATAACAGCCATTAGAAGACTACACCAAAATATATTTTTGACTTATAGCACGCTAATTTGATCAAAATCATTTCTGAGTTTTTTTCTTTATGTTGTTGTTCTTCAATGTTGTTGAGGGGGCAAAGAAAGACTTCAGACTAAAAAAATCCAATATTTTTCCAATTTTCAGGCTTTAAAGGGTTAAATACTACTGAACTGAGGCGTCAGACTGCGCTTGGCTGTGGAGGAAAGCAGAGCTGCTCTCTCTGCTTACCTTGCTGCGCCCAGCTGAAGGAGGCCGATAACGCGGCTAATAACAGCAAACGAAGATCCATCTGCAGGAGAAAAGCAGGAAATCCGTCACCCCGGAGAAATCAAAGACATGCAAATCATATTTATGTTTTTGTTTATGCATTTGGCAGACGCTTTTATCCAAAGCGACTTACAGAGTAGACACAATACTCCATTTATCATCACAATGACAATAAGCTATATAGAGGAGAAACACTGATCAGAGTCAGTGGTGAGATAGAGATAGAGGTAGAGGGACTACAGAAGGAGTTTTGGGGGGGTAGAGGTACGGGTAAGGGTTAGGATAGGATTCAGGAAGAGCACAAATAAATCTTACAATAGAGCCACTTCAGAAGAACATCCACATTTAGATAAAGACGAACAGTGTGAAGGGGCCATTTCCTATATTGTTGGGGTTAAGAGTTAATGTTGATGGCAGAGCCAACACCTTTAGATCAGAGGCTTCTCTCTCTCTGACTGTGTGCAAACACAGGAAAACGTGGTTATTTCACCTCACCCTAAACACAATGTGCTTTACGTGTGCATCAGGTTTAATTTCTCACCTATCCGCACAGATAATGTATGACTCAAAACTCAAACATTTATCTCACAATGAAAAAAATACTTTGAATATATTTTAAAAAAGCAGGAATAAGTGTGTTTTCCCGATTGATTCTTCATAATAGCAACTCTTTATAATTAGTTTAAAGCTGGAATCCCTTGCACAGCAGAGGTGAGGAGCAACCCCCTATTGACCCATCCTAAATATGGAGTAATAATGGAGTAATAATCCCCCCCTATCTGCATTTAGGTAGCTTATATTGCAACCAAAATCCCCATGAAAATATGGGGATTGTTGGATGAAAAGTCATAAACTTTTGGGACAAGAGGACAAAACTGTAAATAAACTAATTTCTGAGCAGCAATAAAAAAAAAAAACTGTAAACCAAGATGTGACTGTGGGCTTTAAAATGTGCCACATTAATCTTCAACACCACAATGAGGCCCAAGCGCAGAGAGCTGAATAAACAGTTTTTTCTGTGTGCAGAAAGGCTGCACCTGAGTCGGTTCAGTAGCTGAATATTTGGCCCATATTTGGTCAGGCTCTCTCTCATCTCTTCCCAACAACCCCAGAGACACACTTCCTTGACTGGATACTCCAAAAACAAGACAGAGGCTGCGTTTGTTTGCCCCGGTGGGACCCGCATGCAGGAAATGTCCTGTGTTGATGGCAGCTGAGCCAACAAATGTGTCCCAAAATAGTCCATTCCTGTTGATGATTAAGTCTATCAGGGTCAATGAGAGTCTTTATTCCTGCTACAGAAATCATTGCATTTAGAATCTGGCCGACGAAAAAAGAAAAAAATCTTAACATGCAGCACAAGTCAGAGGACAAATTCAACCCAAACCACACACTTCCTGTGCAATTCAGGCAAAAACTCAACTCAGATGCACATTTCTCTTCACACTGGTGAAAGAATTAAACAAAGTGATAGTCCAACGACCACAGAAGAGTGTCAACCATAAAAAAAAAACACCTGGAATATCAATCTGTACAGCTAAAACTAAAACTTTTACTTGTCCATTCTAAGAGGATTTACAGCCTCCCTTTGTAAGATAATTACAAAACAAAATACTGAAACAACCAAGAAACTTGTTGCCCTGTGAATAAAATGGTTTCCAGCCAGCATATCATACAAAGAATGCATAATCAAATCCAGACAGACTCTTGAACCACTGAGGCTCCGCCCCTGCATTCCCAAAGACCAGCTTTGTTTACTGCTCTGAGGTTCGGTCTGCAGAGGGCTGCAAATTGCAGAGAGATGACAGACTGGAAGGCATTCTCCATTA